ATGGTGTGTATGTCTAACAATTTGCTACAAATGTGTAATCTTTTAACTTAAATAATTATTTACTATAAACACCAAAATTATATCATATTAAATACACAATTAATAACTAAAAATTATTACGGTAATTTTTACTATGTTAATTTTAAACTCACGCAACGCGTGGACAATCACTAGTTGTCCATAATTTATGGGTTTTTTTTTATTGTAAAGTGCTATTTATAGGAAAAGGACTAGTTTTTAAAAGAAAATTTTGAGATACTATATCCAAAGTTACAAAGCTGAATAGGAGATAACTAATTTATTGAGAAATTTCAAAAAATACTACTTTTCAAGTGCCACTTTACAAAAATGCCACATTTTTGAAATCTTTACAAAAATATCATTTTTTCAAAATTATTTTTTCATTATATTATTTATGTTTGAGTTAACTATGTTCTATTATGGTTTAATTATGAGGATTTATGGGGATTTAGGGGTCAAAACATTTTTTAGTGTTTATAATTTTAAGATATAGGGTTTAAAAAACTATAATTAGTGGCATTTTTGCAAATGAACACCCCTAAGTGGCATTTTTGCAAATGTGCACATAAAAAGTGACATTTTTGCAATTTTCCGTAATTTATTTGAGTTAAAGACTCTAATTATACCTTTTGTGAAGCGAAATTCTTCGAACAGGTTAATCCAGAGCAGATTACGTAGACATGATTTCATCAGTGAAGCCTAACATTTGGGCAAGTTTGGCTAAACAGCTAAAAACGGAAAGCCAATCTCATTATTCAGATGTTTTATTACAATCCAATACCAAAAAGCAAAAACTAAAATATGCTAAAGACCAGCAAGTTGAGATCACATGGTTGACACATATCTTATGGTATTCCTTTTGTAGGTAATTGATTTTACATAACTGGTTGGAGAGAACATCCGTCACAGTCTCAGCCCAAGCGCGTAATAACCAGAAGCAATTCAGAAGGCAGTTCTTGATGAAAAGACACACTTTGGTGAAACGAGAAATGAGAAACCAAAGAATCAAATTATCTAACTATATATTCCCAACTAGACGGCTAAGTTAAAAAGGGTAAAAAAAAGCTTTTTTTATAAGCTGTTGTTGTGATGGTGCTTGCTTTGGCTTTATAGAACCTATGAGAAGAGCTTGTAACTTTTTGCTGAAAGGATAATGTGTCTCATTCCTCCAATTGGTGCAAAAACTGCTATTAAGATTCCAATGACTATTGCTATCTGTTTGTTAAACAACAATTTAGAGAGTTATTAAGTTGATTAGCCTTGTGATTGAGACTTGTGAAATCAAAAAAGAAAGACTAACCCAAGATGCAAACCAATGGAAGCTCCATGGTTTTGGTCGCTTCATGATCAACCATATAATGCAAGGCAACTGCAAATTACGAAGGTATAATACATTATCCATCTTTGGTATTAAAAGAAACAGAGATATATGTATTCATTCATTTTTATTGAGATATCAATCCAAGTCTCACGAAATAAGAGGTTGATGAGAAGACGAGGCCACCGAAGAACCCTAAAAGACCTCCAAAAAAGGGGATACAAACTGCTACAAGACATACCAATGCTGCACAAACACAAAATCTCAGTTTCCATTTCTTTAGAAAAAGTAAAAAAGTGAAGAACTAACCGACATATGTGCTACGTGCGACTAGGCGCAACATTGTCGAAGGAGTGAATTTCAATGTTTTCACAAGGCACGACTCGATTGTGTCAAACACCGACATGGCGAAAACCTGTCCAAATGATCATCAGTTACATTGTAATCAAATTTTTAGAAAAGAAAACAGAACAAGAAAAAAATTAGACCTGATAACTTCCAATGACATGGATGAAGACCATGAAATTAGCAGCAGCTATAAGCCAAACAGGTTTCTCTAAGGAAATGAGAACATCATCCTCAACAAGATCACCAAAAGCCCAAAAACCGGAGATAGCCACAGAGAGGTAACAAACAATGACGATTAAGTAAGCGACAACGACTCCTTTCCACATTGGTTTCTTGGAAGGGATTTCAGGTGTTGAAGGAATAGTAGCTTGGATCTCAAGAACCACACTGTGTCCTGCAAACGCAAACGCTATGGTTCCAATGCCGTTAAACGCATCGAAGATCATTCCAGCCACCGTGTGTGATCTGACTCCGTAATCCGACGGTCGGTGATGTGTTCCTTTCACTATTGACGCTACGGACGCTATCATTGAGTACCTACAAACAAAATTTCAAACTTCACTTAG